CAAAACATGAAAGTACTTTTTAAAGTGCTTAAGTGCGTCAGTTTTACAGTGCGTATACGCAACATTTAWGTAAGGAGAGAGAAAAATATGATGTCCCACCGATTAATCGACATTTATGACTGATTTATATGTCAAATTTTTCTAAATACATGTATATATCGGTTTCTGAGACGCTGAGACGGCTTTACGCCAATCTTTTCACTGTTAGGGCATGTGTCGGTTACGTGTGTAGTACACATGTGTACATACATATAAGCATGTTTTTATGAGTGAATTCAGAGAAGAAAAAAATAAGTGAAATCATAAGCAATCCTAGTAAACTGTACTTACATAGTTGTGAAATTATAACACAATAGCATATGTAACTTTGACCGCTTTTGCTTTAGATACTATGAAATTGATATTTTATAGTAAAATTAAATGATTTTTTAAAAACTAAAAAAATAATGATTATAATTAATAAAAAATGAAAATAAAATAATTTGAGAAAAATTTTAACGTTAAAAAGAAATTATTAGTAAAAAATTAAAATTAAATAATTTGAGAAAAAAGTACACCAAATAAGAGATTTTCCTTGTTAAATAATTGCGATTTTTCGAAAAATATTTCCACTTGCAGTCTGAGCATAAARACAAAAAAAGTCGCGTTAGGTTGTTTTGTCAAATTTGCACAGCTACATAGATTTGACCCTAAGCGTTGCCATATATTTTTGAATATCGTGAAAATAACAGTAATAATAACACGCATACTATTTGTCGCTAAAAAATAAAAAAGCGGAAGCAAGCGCGCAAAATACGAGCTTAATAAAATATATTTTAGAATTKTTGTCAATACTTCTATATTCTTATTTACTATATACGTCGGTATATGTATTCTTCTTCATAGTAAATACTAATTATTTTGTGCTAAATTTGACGCATTTTCAGCTTAATATTGCCTATATGCGTGCTCTACAATAACATTCTTTTATATGTATGGGTTTTGTATATATATACTCTTAGACATTGCTACTCAGTTACATAAACATACATAAGCTTACAATTAGTTAATAAATGTTGCATATAAATTATGCATATGTATATCCTTTCTAATGTTCACTGTGTTGCATAATAAACGTGCGCATAAGCATATACACACATATCGATATATATATATGAAGTACTTTTTCAGTATATAAACCAAAGTTATAGACATATATTACATATATATACATATGTATATGGCTATATGTATTTATTTTTAATGTTGTGCTTCGAATTTTCCCGCTTTGCTTGTTTATCAATCCCATTCGCCAATGTACATGGTGCGCGGTGTGGGCACATAGCCACGTGTGGGCAGCGGCAAGCGACCATAGATGTGATTGTATGGTGATTCAACTAAATCGGCATCTGTAAATGAAGATTTTATTAATGAAACTCAGTGGAAAAAATTTTAATAAAAAATCTGATTTATGTATAAAAATATTTGTATAAAAACAACAACAGTAATTGGGAGTGTGTAGGTGAAAGCATAACTGTTCTTAAATGCTTTATTGCTTTACTTGTGTGTGGTTTTYCTGTATAAAGGATGGTCTAACTACAAGTGCCTAAGTCCCAGTCCCAGTCCAGGTCCGCCAAATTATTGTTTATGTATTTGTAATGTTATTCTTTTTATGTAAATATCAATAAAGTTTGTAAACTTATTTTCTAAAAAATTGCTTTAGTGTAAAAAAAAAGAATTATATTTATTTACAATATTATATATTTATATATATACACATATTTTTGACCTCTCCATTCTGCTCGTAATTATTAGAGAGCCCTTGATAATTTTAATTAAAATGATAAATTTATGAAGCCAGTAACAAAATTTTCAGTTACGCAGAAGTTTGGAGAACTCATTTATTGCCTCTTAATTGAGCCAATTAATACTTTTTCTTATATCAAAGTCCTATATGAAGACGCTTTGGTAATAGGCTGTTATGTTAAGTTAGGTAAATCGGATGATTTCACATAAATCCATGAATAATCTCACTTGGATTGCTGGAGACAATTGCCCGCTGTGATGAATTGAGTACTATTTGAGTAAATTTTTAATTTTTTCCAATAAATTGAGGATTAAAAATTTGTAATACTAACTACTAATTGAGTCAATTAGGTAGTCAATTTGCTAATTGAATATTAATTGAATCAATTGGCAGACATATTGTTAATTGACTGCAAATTAAATTCGTATTTTCTTTTTCTGTGTAGAATGTAGTTGAATGCTAATTGTTTAATTTAATTAATTTATATTTTTCCTCGTATGCTGAAATTGAAAATTTTTTTAATTGACTATAAACTGAGAAAATTTTTACTTGAGTCTTAATGCCGTCAATTGCTTTTCCTTCCTGTATGTAGTAAGCAGGCAATTTGCTAATTGACATTATTGGAGTCAACTAATATTATCTTCTAATAAGTTGAAGCTGAAAAAATTTATTGACTGAATTTGATTGGGTCAATCAGTAATTTCTTTTATAAATTTATGKTGGAAAACTTGTTAATTGTATTTAAATTGAGTCAATTAGAGAATGCTTCATGTAAGTCGAAGGTAGAAAATTAGTTAATTGAATCTAATATGACTCAATTAGCAGTTTATTGTTATAAAATAACGTTAAGGAATTTATATTGACTCTTAATTGGGTCAATTAGTACTATCTTATGCTCTGAAATTTTTTCAATCGATTAAATTAAGTAGTTTTAAAATCAATTATATTCTCCAGCTATGTTTTTTCTGAACTACTGGCAACGCATAAAAACATATTCGAACGCTACCAAAACCAAGAAAACAATACCAAATCCTAACTACAATAAATAGTATGAGAACAGTAGGCGAATGAAGTCAAACCTATTTGAGAATTGGTATTTTCTTGCTTAATTTCAGTTTTCGGTCAGTTCACTGCGCTACCGGATGGTTTGGTTGGTGTTATTGTTGTGATTGTATAGTTGAGGGCTGTCCGGTCGCAGAGCAATGGAGTTGTCAAGAAATTCAACCAGCAGCAGTTGTTGAACTATCCCAGCACAAGCACTTTATCTACATATGTTATTATTGTTTGCATAGCAYTTAGTTGCGCTCAGTTCGCTCAGTAATCGAGTATTTGAATGCGTTTGAGACTCAGGCTGCGGGGTTTGCGTGGCTTTAAATAGCCATAAATGGATTCCATATCGCTAGCGTCGACGCGACTATCAGATCGGCTGAGCCGACTCTGTTGTTGGTGATTTTGCGAATGTTGTTGTTGTTGTTGTAACGCTTCAAAGTTTGTTCGTTTAGACGTTTGTTGTTGCGCGCCAGTCATGGCATTTGTTGTTGTTATATTTGTATTCTTTACGCCATTCTTGTAGTTGCGTTTGCCATTGTTAAACAAGAAGTTGTTATTCTCCTTGCTGTTGCTGTTATCTAGTTTATTAATTTGCACCTGCGCCACATCATTAGKCAATTTCGCTGCTTGATCATAGTTATTCAAGTGTTGTTGCTTCTGTTTCTGTTGTCCTTTTTTGAGTTCAGCCTGCAGCTTGAGCTTTTCCTGTTGCTGTTGACGCTTCTGGTTGTGCGCTTTCATTTCGAATGCCGCCGTGGTAGCGGCCACAATGCTGCCGCCCAGTTGTTTAATAGCTGAAGACATTGTTGGCGTGGYGGCATTTGTTTTTGTTGCTGTTGTTAGCGTTTTTGTGTTTTCCGGCGCTATTTCATGGCCTACAACAAATTGATCACTACTACAATTGCTATTTTTATTGCCGCGCCAGCAGGGCGGTGGCAGCATTGGTTTATCTGRCGACGCTGCGTCATCTGCTCTGTGACTGTGTGGCGTTTGCATGCCGAGYTTGTGGCGCTGAAAACTGAGCAAATCTCGCTCTTCAAATTCCTTTTCATGCTCCTTCCTGTTTTCATGCGCATTGCGCGCACGTCTCATATCCAACTCRTTTAGTTGTGCAATGCCATGCGCTTCCCTGCCGCGTAGGCGGTCGTAGAGCATGGTGGTGGAAGGCGCTTTCACAATACGCTTGCGCCCGCCATACATATAAAGAGATCCCTCCTCATTTGGTTGCTCGAAGAAACTTTCGATTGAGAGCGATTTGTGGCGCAGCAACGCGGGCGAATGCACGAAACCCGATCTRTTATCAGCGCTGACGCGTCCTCTACCAAGCTGCATTTCATCGACGACTGTTCGCYCAAAGGGCGATTTCGGTGGTGACGGTGAATCCAATTGCCGTTGTCTACATGTGTAGCGGTCAGAATGTGTGACGTCCCAGTCCGTTTCGTCGTCGTCGTACAGGCAGTCGYCATARCGTCGCGTTTGCATAGCGTATTCGTTGTAAGTTTTCTTTTTACCACCACTGCGCTCATGTGATTCTTCTCTGTCTTGTGCTTGYTGTTTGCGCTCATTATAATGGGGCGCAGCATTTTCGCGTCGATAGTCGCAATCATTCACGTATTGCGGCGACTCCGCGCTCTTGCGTGTGTAATGGTTCTCTACATGGTGCACGCCACCAACGCCATAACAGCTTTCCACTACATCTGTTTCACCGAAACCCTCRTCGTAAGTACAAATATCACTAGGCGCTACAAAACGGTTACGCCGCGGATTTAAAAACGACACATCGCTTTCGCTACACCATTTCACCAAATTTACACCTCTTTGCCAAACCGCTTTGTTGCGCGCAACACCMAGCGCTTCGCGTCTTTCATCATTAGCGCCCTCCAGACTTGCGCTGTTGTTCACACACGGCGCGCGAATTTGTTCTGCAGGCAATGGTGGTAGTGGCGGAGGTGGCGGTGGCGCTGGTATTTCCGCCAAACTACCGCTTARCTGCTGGTGCAAGCGCAGTTGCTGCTGGCTGAGACTTCGCGGTGGCCGCGCTGGTTGCTCAACACCGAACAATGGCGCCAAGGTGTAGCARCTAACGCAATTGCAATTGCTGCCCACTGAATTGCTCGCATCGCGTCGTGTGCGACTCGTGCGGAAGCGGTGCGGCGAAAGTGTTTGTTGCAATTCTCGTGTAAGGCGCCGAAAGCGCGAGCGACTAGAGCGCGCGTTAGAATTCACTAGCACTGGCTGAGCATCAGCATAGACTAAGTCAGGGTCGGGATAGTCTGAGTCAGTGTGCGGTGGCACATAGCAGGCGCGCACATTGGGTGGCAATTGGCGACGCGYGCAATTTCGGCTGTGGTGGCGTTGGTCATTGTGATGTGTGTTGTTGTGCGCTGGCGCCGCTTCCTGCTGGTGATKGTGGTGATGATGACGCTGGCGCGTTTGTTCTAAATTCTGAAAGTGGTGTTGGCGTTGTCGCTGCTGCTCTTGTTGTTGCTGTACGCTAAAGTATATGTTGTTGTTATTGTTGCTGTTGTTAAGTATGTGTTCGTGTTCGTGTTCGTGTCCGTCCATACCGTGCGCTGTGTCCACTGGCAGGCGCAACGGCGCCGCGGCAGACGACAGCTGTGGCAGTGCATTGTGCAGTTGTTGTTGTAGTTGTTGTGCTTGTGCCTGTACTTGTGATTGTGCTTGTGCTTGTGCATGTAAGGTTATTTGTTGTGCCTGTGCTTCATTCGTTTGATTCTTGTTCTTATTTTTGTTCTTGTTCTTTTTGCCGTTCTTATTGTTGTTATTATTATTATTATTGTTGTTCTGATGGTCCATGTGAAAGTTCGCAGTCGGCGCATTATACAACTGCTGCTGCTGACAACCAATACTACTACTATCATAAATACCTATGCCGCTCTCGAAACTGCGCGTCTGCCACATCGGATGCTGTGGCACGTGATGGTGCGCGGCCGCTGCCGGGTGATGGTGGTGCACGGCTTGTGCTGCAGCGGCGGCCATCAGCTGCTGCTGCTGAATGTGGTGTGGATGCATGTGTGGCGGCGGCTGTGGTGCTGCCACATGCATCGCGTGCAAATTGGGCGCTGTCATCGACATGTGGATCATGGAGTTCTTCTTTTGGCTGAGTGTGTTCATGCTGCCGTTGCTGTTGCCATTCGTGTTGCCAGCGTTGCCATTAACCAGTGTGCCATTGGTGACGTACTCCTTGTGCTCCTTGCTGGACTTTGAGGTCTTCACGAAGTTTGGTACACGTGCACGCAAGCCACAATAGTAAGGATCATCTGAAATGAATTTGAGTATTGTTCGTGGCAATATTCACAGTGCTTTGGGTACAACTTACCATATTTTTTGTTGTCTTTGCCTTTGTCTGATTTGCCACGTGATAATTTGATTCTAGTGTCCACCTCGATGTCATCGTAATCGGGCTAAAAAATTTAAGAATAATAAAAATTCAAATATTGTATGCAATTGAGTTATTAATTACAACAACAACAGAAATATACTTATATGATAATAATTAATATTCGGTTTAAGACCAGAAATCCACTTTTCACCGCAAAAATCTATGTATAATGAATTATAGCGAAACCAGTGCACCCTAGACAATATTTTTGCAGAACGCCTTCTCTATATTTTACTGATATACAATATTAACCTTTCAGATTCTCTCCTCGATCTGCTTAGCATCAGTTCTCTTCTGAAAGCTAAACTATATGTAAGAGATTGATATATCCTCTTTTTGTTCTATGCCGCTCTACTTATGCCTTTTGCTTGTTCTATTCGTCCCTTTCCAAATTTGAATAACCGCTTGTTAAATGGGTACCGTGTTAAATTCTTTTGAGGTCCTATACTATACATATATATTAATAAAAATATACTTTATTTAACGTCAGATGAAACTTAATGCTTTTACAGCTCGTTGGCATCAATATAATTTTTTGGATATTCTATCCTTTTAGATAGTGTCTAGTAAATTTCCCAATGATTAAATGTTGGTAGATTTTTTTTATCTTTCGCACATTTCGCTAACGAGCTGAGTTATGTGTTTGCTGATCACTGGAAGCTGCAAAGACGATGAGCTGCCAGGGCACGCTTTCCTCAATTTTCTCTCATTGGAGCCGAGTCGGTTATCCGATACCGCCTTGAGTCCTGACGTTGATGAACTTTTAAACCTCTAGTGAGCTCAGCCAGCGCTGGTCAACAAGCAGAACTTATGTGACTGCGAGATCTTTCTGGCCCAGARTGAATCATAATAGATCATCCAAACTACTGCGCTTAGCAAAGTCAATCTTGCTAGGTAGGTGCTCAGGCTGGACACCGTCCAATAGATTTGCACGCGGTGTAGCTAAATACTCTATTTGACGCTCTTTGCCAAAGCTGTATCAAGAAAGGCGACGTGKAATCATCTTGYCAACTTCTTTTCTATTGTCAAGCGCTTGCCAGACTGAGCTTGAGATATCTCGGTAGAAACACCTTTGTGGTAAGTAAAGAACGATTYGTTACACAATACGTGGATATAGAGATCCGCAACTGTTTCAAAAAAAAAATGAAAACTAATAAACCAACTGGTGTCCATCCTCCTTAGCTACTTAATTTAATCGACTTAAAAAAATTGCATATAATATGTAATTATTCTTCTTCTTCTTTATTGGCGTAGACAACGGTTACGCGGTTATAGCCGAGTTTATAATAGGGCGCCTCTTTGCTGTTTGACTTTTATTGCAGATTCGATGTGCGGACAGATATATAGGAAATTACAAATTGACTCAATTAAGAGTCAATATAATTTTTTTAATTTCAATTTATAGAAATAAACCATTAAACACATAAGTCATATAAGACTCAAATAACTCATTTTCTACCTTCAATTTATATGAAGCAGTTATTAATTGACCCAATTCAGATTCAATCAATAAATTTTTACACCTTCAACCTATATATKATACTAATTGACTCAATTAAGRGTTAATATAAATTTTTCAATTTTAATTTATAGCAATAAACTGCTAATTGAGTCATATAAGATTCAATTAACTTATTTTTACCYACGCATTAATGAAGCAATTACTWATTGACTCAATTTAAATACAATTAACAAATTTTCTAATTGACTAATTCACTCAATTAAAGTTGAATAAATTAATTATTTTGCCTCCGACTTATTAGAAGTTAATACTAATTGACACCATTAATGTCCATTTCCCTCCACACATTTGTGAAAAGTACAAAAACGATTTGTTGATCAATTTGAATCTAGAGATCAACCTCTTAGGTATTAATGGGTGAGACAAATGACGAATTTTTGTCAAAGTAAGATTTATAGATTTTGGATCAACAATCAAGTTAACCTTTCGCTACTTTACGAGTATAAAAAGTAATAAAAAAAAACCAAACTCTTCAGCTCCAATGACGATAGAGAAATCGACTTTTTTTGTTTCGAACTACTTCAGTAAAAATGTACACGCCTATTTTCAGTTGCTTATTCGGATCGTCTGACTAACAATAATCCGTTTAACTTGATTACAATTAACAGGATCGTTAGCAGTAAAACTAATGCTAGGTGGCGCAGTAAGAAAGTATTTTGCTTGATATCTCAGCAAAAATAGTAAGATTACCTCATGACTGCTGATTTCGCAATTAGAGTGTTGCGACAGATGAGGCACAAATATGTTAACCATTTATTAGTTTCATAACAAAATTATTTCAACAACATAACATACCATTAACAACAATAGCAAAAATGCTGCTGCATTTACATAAGCTCTTCTATATGCAAGTATTTACTATATACCGATTTACGCTCATATGCCCTAAATATTTGTGTTACCTTGCGTTATTGATACTGTATGAGTGCATGCGTATATAGGTGTCTTTGTCGCTGTGCGCCTGCGCAATAAATGTAACATTCTTCGCATATTAATTACACGCGATATCGAGCGATAAATGCAGTTATTTCGACACACTATCAACTAACAACACTTATGTATGTATGTGTGTGTAGGTTGTAATTACATATGCAGAAAATTTAATTATAAGTATGTGTGCGAGTACCTGTGCGCAAAGAACGAGTTTTGCATTTGGAAATTGTTGCATTGATTATTGTATTTAAGTGGCGTTGTAATGTAAATTTTGTTTGTTGCAATTGTTTTTATTATTCTTTTGTGGTTTAAAGGTTTATTGCTTGCCGCTGTCCTTCTTCGCCTGAAACGTTTCACTGATTTGTTGATATGCAAATAATTTTTGTTTGTAATAAAAATAAAATAAAACCAGATGKCAGCAGTTTTTACATTGCATCGCATTATTGTTTGTTAGAGGTTATAGTTAAAGTCTAGATGCTGAAGTACTTATGTTACCAAAGACTATTTTCTCTCTTTTGGAATATTCCATATGCTTTTGTTCACTAGAAATTTGTTACTGTTAGAATTAAATGGCTTCAGACGCTTCATAAAAGTCATCAACTTTGACCATACTGAAAGATAGTTCCTAATGAGAAAAAATATAAATTCTTCTTGCCTGCTTGTAATCGATACGAGTATTTATACCCTGATTCGAGTTTACAGCTTCGCAATAATCGTTTTTCCTTTTCGTTGTTTCGAGACAATTAGACTTCCAAGACTGTTTCGAGACAATTAGACCAAGTGTAGCCAACTTCTTTTCCCTCTAGTCTTTCCAATGGAGAATATAATATCGTTTCAATAAACTACGGTTAACTCTAGCTTCACAGTTCCTTCGACAGCTAAGTGCCATTAGTCATATCTGGCTCTCATTATCTTCTGGTTAAGAACAAAAGAACATCTCGTGGCAAATAATTTTGTGGAATCTCGTGTGCATTCCACAAAATTATTTGCCACGAGATGTTCTTTTGTTCTTAACCGCATGTAAACAATCTATCTATCCTCAAGCATTAAGCTTCATGAATGAATGCCTCGATTTTTAGATAAAAAATTTCATACCGTACTGTAGTGAATTTCATCAAAATCGCTGGATAATTATATATAATTAGAAAAATTATAAGGTTATTGTAATCTATTATATTATAGTAAAACAATTATGGTTTCAGAGTTCGAGATTAATAAAGATGCTACTTGAAACTTCTTTTTGAACAATATTCCTAGTAAATATAATAGTACCAGTATTTGATCTTTTAATGAATTAAGTTTCCTAAGAAAGGTAATGTGTTCTTAATTAAAGCATAATAAGACGCTTTAATTACGTTGAATGTACCGTGCCCTACTAAGCGATTATTCACAATAAACTTAGCTTTCGTGAAACTACTTATCTTCGTTATATTTTTTGTGCACAGCCATATAAGGTGTGGTGCCTGATGTATTCCAAGTATTTGGTTATAGTTGCTGTAGGCATAAAAACACTATTATTGGACCTATGTTGTAAGTAATTGGTTGTAGTCTAATCATATTCGGTCCACATTTGTTTCGTTATCTTGCAGTTGGTTACTGATTTCCATCTGCGCTGTACTATTTCATCGTTTCCAGTGGACGTGGTATTAATTTCGCTTCGGATTCGTCTAAAGAGGGTCCTATTATGGCAAACTCATCTGTATTTTAATTACCGAAAATGTTTCTGTGGCCGGGTGCCCTAATCAAGGACAGTTGAATTTCCAGTGAGCTTCAAGGCTTTMTGCAATTGCTAATTATGCTTGAAATAATTAGTGGCGCCAACAACGCCAGCAGAGATACTTGGCTATCTATGTATATAGTTGCTCTCTGTATTCCGCAGTTATTAAAAAGAGCACTAGAGGCCCTCTCTATACCTAATACTTCCGCTTAGACAATGATGGCTGAGTTTGGATAGAGACAGAGATTTCGAGAACATAGGATTACACACCCGCACCCACTCCGCAGTCCGCTGTAAACMCAACTGCATCAAACTCTTCTACGAAACCTCGTCTCCATTTATGCGTAAAGGGTACCCTCACCCGGAAGTGGATATTGATGTACTTATGTTTAGCTGGTTTAGGATGACGCTATGTCACTAGTCTTTCCTTTTCCAAGCTTCTAGTTTTTGTATTCTTATACCAGAACATGCTGCTACTCTCCGAGCAAAGACGTCAATGATATTATTGTGTAACTTGAAGTGGCCTCATGACGGTCTTATATATTCACATAACAATATTTGCTTTTTTCGATATAAATCTTCCAATTTAGTTTATTATTGAATATAATTTTTTACCGCCAAGTGAGRATAAATTGAGATTTTTCGATTTTATTTGTGAAAGTATCAGTTTCGTTTTAATAGGGTTAACATTTTGTATTTTTCACTGTCTATTAGCGTAACCTTCGTAGGCCTCTTTCATTAATCTTACCTTGAAGGTTCTTCAAATTAGCTTTTCAGCCAAAAAGTAGGCAACGACTCTTTACTCCTTTATTTGACTTTAAGGTTTGGTTGCATATTTGAGACATTATAAAATAATTATAAAAAAAATGCCATTACAGTAAGGTAGGCCAGAAATATAAAAAACCTAATTTTTTTTTACTTTCTTATTAACTTTTGAGCGTAATTATAAAGAGAAAACAAATTTTACTGAAATTTTATATTACAATCAAAAATGTCATTAAAACTCTAAAAAACTGAAAAATTCATAATAAAAAAAAAAAATAATGTTAAACTAAATTTTATTGTCACATGTTGAATATATGCTTTAAGCAATCTTTTAGTTCATTTCCTACAAAAAAGTTTAATTTTTTAACACTCATATGCTAGGCACTCACCTTCGGTATAATGTCATGAGAGTAAATATTATCGCGTGGCGGCAATTTCGGCGGCTTCTCGCTGCGTTTATGAGCCAATTGTTGTGTCTGCAACAGCAAYTGCTCACGTGTGGCGGCCACATGTCCGGCGACTGCGGTGCCACCATTCATACCACCGCCGTTCATGGTGTGCATGCCCATACTGGCGGCAGCGACCTGCTGCTGCTGTTGTTGTTGTGAATGATGGCTGCTGCCAGCACCGAAACCAGAGCTGCCCGAACTGCCRCCGCTGCCGCCGCTGCCGTTGCCGGCCACGCTGTACGGATCCTCGTCGGGTATGGGAATCCTAGGGCGATTCTTAATGTCCACAATGGGGCGTTGCACTATCGGCGGAAAAAAGAAGAGGAGAGAGTTGGAATTAGCATAAACTGTCATGTGATAAAAATTAAGAAATGTGTGATGTTAGAACACATAAATCATTTATTGCTGTCAATTGTTTGCATAAGCATAATTTAACCATTTTATTTTTGTTTTTGCTATATAGAAAAATATGCAAATTTCGGCTGTGTGGCTAGTATTGTTTTTGCTGCTTTGGCTTTGTCTATGCTAAAATGGCGTTCAATGCGTAGATATTGCACCGATACATACACATAAACATATATATATATATATATAAGAGGGGACATATGCATATAAATATATAGCAATAAGTTTGTTTTTGATTTATGCGCCAAACGCTTTGGACAATGGCAATACGTTGCGTGCGGCTGCTGGGCATGCGCACTTTTATTGCCGCCCTTTATCGCGGCACGAACCGAACACAGGCCAAACGCTGACACTTTGACATTTAAAAAGCGAAATGAAAATGTTGCCGGCTGGCATTTGAAATTTACCGCAAAATTTACCTATGCATTCCTGCACACGCTCACATATATATTTACACTGGAGTGTATATGTGGCTTTGTGCGCGCAAAAGCGAAAGGCCAACAACAGTGGCTGCAGCTGCAACAACAACAATAAGCGCCGCTAAGCTYATGTTAGCGCTGGTTGGTATCAACCTTGAACTGCTTGTCGAGCAAATGGGGAGTGCGGCGCCAGCGAAGTTCAAAATAGAAGAATGAAAACTAGAAAAATCGCATACAAAGTTGCATTAAGTTGTTGGTATATACATATGTATATTTGTATGTATACATATATCTACACACATTATGTATACATATGAGTTCTTACTGTATCTATGCAGTTTCGTTATGGCAGCGCAACAATGCGATCTTCGTGCGGATGCCTGAGATCCACGCCTGCACTTTCAACCTCTACTGCACTACAATTACAACAAGAGCAACACCAACGTAGAACATGTATTAAAATAAAGTCGCTCTAATGCTAAAGCGCAAGCGCAAGCGCCCAACCTAATAAATTGCTAACATTTTGCAGCAATGCTGCGCCAATGGTTGGTTATAAGCTTATAGACAATTGGACAAGATGCGCGTATGTGTGTGTATGTATAGTATATGCACGTAAAAGTTTGGTCACGTAACCGATTATTAGTTATATTAGCATACATTCATAGCAGAATTTTTATTTATTTGTAATTTTTTTTTTTCTTTGGCCTCCTCTTCTTCTCTGCGCGCTTACCTGGTGGCAATTTGCTCTTAAGCATATCCATTGCGACCACATTGACAATGAGCACCCAAACGGGACAGTCCAATATATCGTTCTCCGATTTGACAAAAGCYACAACGGACAGACATTGCGTTTCCAGGCGTCGACGATCGGGATAAGCACGACGAAGTTCACGATTTACATTCGATTGGAATTTTTTCATATCGAATAACTGAAAGAGTTGAAAATTATTGAATGAATAAAAAAAAA